TTCTCCAGTGTGCTCCAGCTGGCTGGAGAATTCTGGGAGTTGAAGTCCACACGTCTTAAACTTGCCAAGGTTGAAAACATTGGAGTGGAGCAACTGAAATGAATGGAATGGGATGACTACAGTCCCATTGATTTCAAGGATCTCTTGTATGGCAGCTGGGAGTTGAAGAGTTGTCAATAATGACAAACATTAAAATTAGGGTAGTTATATCTCCCCTAAGGTGATTAAAGCACCCTGATTAATTAAAGAGCATCAATTAATCAGGCAGTAGATCACTTATAAACTTAAGAGCAATACTAGCTGGTATCAAATATTTTGCACCAGCAAAACCAACCAAAGTTCATTCCCAAGAAGCAAAGAGTGAAACAGGGAAAACTCAAGAGGAGGTACCACTGGTTGCCCAACATTTTCAGAAACAGATTGGGCAAATCTGAGCTGTGACTGCCCCCCAGTGTGCCTCTACCCACAGATCAGCCTTGTTGCTGCAGTGTGTTGGAGCATCAACCGCTTCCTACTGTTACCATCACTCACATCTTTAACAAGGACCAAACGCAGGTTTATGCTCTCAGACACAACACCAACCCCAGATTTATTAACCTGATGATGTGCCATCAAATGGTTGTTGACTCCTAGCAACCACATCGATAGATCTTCTCCATGATGATCTGTCCCTAACCTGCTTTTTCAGGCCTCCCAACCGTGCACCCATCACCACTGTAACTGAGTCCATCCACCTGGCTGCTGGTTGTCCTCTTCTCTTTTCTTCCACCCTTCCCAGCATTAGAGCCTTCTCCAGATTGCTGGGTCTTCGCATAATTGCTGGAGCAGGGACAGATGGTGCTAGGTTATGACACACTGCATCAATGGAGGCGCATTTGACATGCTACTTGGTGACAAGAGGCCTTGCAGAACAGAATAAGCAAGCTGGGAGGAATAAGTTTTATCCTTCATCAATCACATTTGAACAGAGGCCACTAATGGCCCTAGCTTGACTCTTATACACAACAGCACTTAGACCAGACATAATGCTGGGCTGATATTTGCCCAGAGCAATCATGGGAGATGAGGTCAAGCACGCCTGGGAGGCAGCAGAATGGGAAAAGCTGTCCCAAAATACAGTTCTCAAGATTCTAACCAATACAGATCCAGTGTTGGTCCAGGACCCCATGAGATAGGCTGGCTGAAACGTGGTGCCCTTTGAACATCTTCCAGTGGATTGATTAAACCTGGTCACTGAATTGTCAATGAACAACAATGCAAGATTGCTCTGAGGCATTGTGGAGAACAAAAACAGTGCCCCCAAGTGTTGGTGAGGATCTTTGATAAAGGAGGTCTACTAGAAGATATTCTGTCAAGGGACTCTTCCAGTATTGGACTTGATCCTGCCCATCACCCACAGATTTAAAGCAACTGGTGTAGGAATTCCCATATCCCAGAATGAACAGACCACAAATGACAGGTGAGCATTCACAGTTTACTGTTTTCCATTGGGCATTTGGTTTGGACAATCCTAGTACTTGCTCTATATGGCATGAAGTCATTTGAAAATAAAAGAAAAAAAAACAGTAAAGTAACAAAAGAGGAAATTCCTCATCATGCAATAGCTGTACACATTTCTTTACTAGTTCTGTACCTCCAGGTCAGAGGCAGAACCTCAGCAAACTCTGACATCCCAAACACCCCAGCAGGATTCACTTGTTTGCTCAAAATCCTTGATAATTTCATAGCAGAACAATAACTGGGAAATTATCTGCCATGCTGAATTATATTACACCCCCAACACGACAACTAGGGCTGCTTCTCAGGTCTAGCTCCCTCCCTACAAGAAGATATCCATCTTTCCCAACTTAACTGCCCTCCAAAACATGGACCCAGAATGCTTTGCAATAGCTGTGCTGGCTGGGGGATTCTGCAAGTTAAGCCCACATAGCAACTGGATGCCCAAGCTGAGGAAGGCTGATCAGCAGGTCAGACTAGCCACAGATCCACCACCAGATACCCTGAAGGAGGATTCATAACTGCCTTATGTCCAGTGACTGGCACCCTTTTGTAAAATAGGTATCCGAAGAACAGTGGCCTATTCAAAACTAGCCTCCCGGTGTGCTTGGATAACCCTGAATCTATCGTGGTGCTAGTGAATTGGTTATTATGACTTGCTTTTGTCTTTACAGTGACAAAAAGCAGGAAGGGGCAAGTGGTGTCAACTCTTGGTGCTAGCAAGCATTCTTTACATCCAGGTTCAACCTGTGCCCGTAATCTCCTGTAAAGGATTCCAGGAGCGCAGCTTTGGAAGAATGTGGAGTGACAATGCCAACCAAAGGAGATCAGTGCTTGGATTTAGCCTATATGAAAGTCACAGGACAGGAAACAAACATTTTGGTAGCTGATAGCGTATAGTCAAAAAATGGGAAGAGAAAGTACCTGGGTTGATGGTCTTTCTATTAAGGTACAAAAAGTCTCTTTCTTGACATCTGGTGACCTCTCTCTTGCCAAAAAAATCCACCCCAACTTAGCAAAATAAACAAAATAGGGGTGATGGAGTCAAGGTTGGGTTAAACCATGGATGGAAATATCAAGTGGATCAAATTCTAATCCATCCAATTGAGGGTTGAGTCTCTACGAATCTTCTAATAGATGCCACCTTCTGGCAGCAAGGGAGAGGTCTGGCTATTGGACTCCTGATTACAGAGTCAGAACTGTGTATATCCCATGCTTCTTTCCTTCTTGCTGCTGCTGCTGTTGTTTTTAAACATTACTTACGATTTGCCTCAATAAACTATACTCTTTGATTTGAATAAGCTGCTAATCACCAAGCGAGGCCCTCAGCATCCATGTTTTCTTGACATCAGAATCTTCCTCTGGCTTTGGAGACTTCACTAGACATTGCCCACGCATGCACTGCCAAACCAATCTTTGCAGCCTTGAGAATGGAACATTTACATTTCCCAAAACAAAAGCAGGGAGCAATCCACAATCTGTGGCATTCTATGCTCAGTATTAATGTCTGCCTTTGCGCAATATAACTGCGGAACACACACAGCCCTCCCAGTAAGGGCACCAATATATCACCTGAACTAGTACAAAGATAGGATTCTCTTTAAGTAATTCATCCAAATCTATTGCATTTTTTTTTTTAAAGAGTTCTGATGGGGGCTGAAACTCCAGCACTTCAACCTTGCCGGCTGTTTTCTTGTCCTGCTTCTATTTCATCAGTTCAAAGATTCTCTTATCTCTTTGGCTGCAACAGGAGAGCATCTTCTTCATGTAGCTGGCATAGGGGCGCAAAGAGCGTCAGCAGAACTGTAAAACAAAGAATGCTTTTTTGAAGAATACAGGCTAATGCAAGCCAGATGTTTTGGCATTCTGCACCAGAATACTGAATTCTGCACCAACAGGCAACGTAAGTTGGGCTTAAGCCAAGCACCTTATGAAATGAACAGGGTGTTATGGCCTCACACCTAGAGATATGTAGTGTTTTGGGGAGGTTTGGGGCTCGGGTGCTAAACCTCTAGGTGCCTCCTTCAAAGAGCTGCCTGTTTCTTTGAGATTGCACAGTAACGCCAACACGATGCTTCAGAAGGGGTGGGGGCATGCTGCCAGCGCCTGGGAGGTTTTGCTGGGATTGCAGAGTTACCGCACATCCCAAGGAAAAGATCCAGCTTCTTGAAGACCACACCACCTCCAAACTATCTTTGCCACGTCACACTTCGTACGATGCGGATACAAAAAGGCAGAGGTGGTGTCGCATTGACACAATGCTGTTTGGGTCATTTACTTCCCTCTGCAGAACCTCCGATTCTGCGTCACGTCTCTTCAGATGACAGCCACGAAGGGGGGCAGTGTCTTGCCTGTTCTGCTGCACAAGCTGCCCTTGGAGGCTTTCTGGCCGAAGGGCAGATGAATTACCTAATCATGTGCTTAAAGCATTTACAAGCAACAAATAATACAAACCTTCCAGCGATTCCCGCACTCATTACAGAGCACGAAAGTGGTCATGGGCTCATCGGCGCTCCGTGTTTGCACCTGATTATAAGTGCAGTTCTTTTTCTTACATTTTCCGCACTGGAAGAGGTCGGTGGTTGTACCTCCTGTCTTCGCCATCTGATGCTCGCGGATAGCTTCTTGGGTCATGGCATTCCTTAGCTCCTTCAGCTCATCGCTAGCCATTTCCTGCAACGCACAGCAGTACCACCGTATCAAATGCAACAGGGCCAGTTTTGTCAGGCAGGCTTCATCAAAGTGAAGTCTTGCTGGCCTGTGATGGAATTGTTTGGTGAAGGCCGTGCTCAGGGAGATAAGCATTTCCTTAGCCCCCAGCAGGAGCGTGGGAAGGTTAAGGAGATGAGGCTGGCACCGCCCTAAGGAATTCATGGTGTTTTGGCTTGCTGGCTTGGGAAGTTTAGATTCAGTCTGGAGA